TCCTCCTCCTGTCTGGATATATTTATCCTCTGCATTAGTCAAATTCCTGGAAGCATGTGCTATTGGGCATTCCTCTCCATTGGGCCAATTATGAGCCAAGACTACCCCAATGCCGTGCAGGGAAGCATCACATGTCAATACCAAATCTTTCTTGGGATCATAGTGTGCCAACATCTTTCAGGATGATAGCTGTTTCTTCACTTCCCTGAAAGCTCTGGCTTGGCTGTGTGACCATTTTCTTTGAGGGTTGATGCAAAACTGTCAGGATGGAAGCCAGGTAATGTATGAACTTTCTGTAATAATTCACCAGCCCAAGGAAAGACCTAAGCTCCAGTGCAGATGTGGGAGCCGGGGCACCTTTGATCATCCTCACTTTATTTTCCAACGAGTGTAACCTGGTGTTGTCGACTGTGTGGCCCAAGTAACTCGTTTGAGGTGCCTGAGTACACACATTTTTCCTTTCTAAGGCATATGCCCGCCTGGGAGAAATGTCTAAGGACTGTGACCAAGTTCTCTAGGTGCTCTCTATTGTTCTTCCCTGTTATTAGCACGTCATCCAGATAAATGGTGACCTGAGGTAGACCTTGTGAAATGTTCTCCATCATCTGCTGAAAAATTGCACAAGCTGATGGTACCCCAAATGGTAGTCTCGTATATTGGTACAAAGCCTTATTGGTAATAATTGCAGCATACTTCTGGGAATCCTCATCAAACCACACTTGGAAGTACTCGTATCGAGCTTCATGAAGGATAGCTCCCCCATTGCCAGCTTTGCATATAAATATGACAGCGATTGTGTTCTTATCCAGCTGTGAAAAGTGGTTTGCCGTTTGTTTAAAATCCCCACAAAGGCGAATCGACCTGTTAGACTTCACAATTGGTACGACTGGTGCTGCCCATTCTGCAAATTGGGCTGGTTTAATGATTCCTTTGCTTTCCAACCTTCTGATTTCTGCATCTACTTTTGCCTATACGGCAAATGGAACTGGACGTTCCTTGCAGAATCATGGAATTGTTTCCTGGTCAACAAACAAGGCAGCCTTGGCTCCTTTCTTTGTGTCTTGACCTTCCCGAGAAAAATGTCTGGGTATTCGGACTTCATTCAGGGAGTTATTTTCTAATCAAAAAATGCTAAGCCAATCTAGGCTGAATCTTTCTCAACCAATCTTTCCTGACCAAGTTTGGGCCGAGGTCTTTTACTCCAA